CCCCCCCCAACCACCTTGGCGAGCTCAGACAAACAAGAGGCGAGACTGGCTGCTGGGCACAGAAACATTCCATACAGTGCACGGCAAAAACAAAAGGAAAGGCGAGAAAGATAAGAAACAGCAGCAGCCATTGCACGAGATCAGCATAACCCAAGTTGTGTGCTGCTCGAATCGGGGAGGAGCACGTGTCGTCGCGTTGCCTTGCTGCGGTCAGAGCAAGATTTTTTTTTAATCCGAGCAAATGTTCATAGAACGACGCATTTTAACCAGGCCGTCCAATTTCGTTTGCCCCACGGGCTCAGATTATTGCGGACAATAAATAAGAGGGGGAGCCAATCGCCACGCTTTTAGGTTGGGCAAAAACACACAAGTGAGGACCTAACGGGAAAGCACATCATTATAATGTGAATTTCCCGAGAAGGGATTGACTTTTTGGGGGGTTCTAGGACGAGTTCAACGCCCTTCAAGACATAAACACATCTAGTTGTTTTTTTTTCGACGGCAAAGAGGTTGAGTTGCATTTGGGGGGAAAGATAATCGAGTTGAAAGAGAACAACATTAGGTCAAAAAGCAATCCCCATATTACATAGCTGTAGCAAGGCATCTTTTTCGACAAGACCGCATTAAAAGAAATCGATGCCTCGACAAAAAGGTAATAAACATGCAGTAAGAGGGGAAAAACAAACAAAAACAAACAAAAAATGTTAACCCAAAAATCAAGCTTTCTAAAAACCGTAGACATACAATTAACGAACAGGTGATATTTCAATACCGTTATCTCTGGTTACACTACCAGGTAGACATGCCATGATGGAGAACAAAAAGTTAGAACAAAAGGTCAAAGATCTGGAAATAAAGAAGACCCCAGAACGTCAGTGAACATGCTTACAGTACCGTAAAAGTTGTTGACTGCTACTTTCGCAGGCCTTTGAAAACAATAGAGAAAGAAGGATTTCCACTTCCAGAGTGTCTATGCATGTGTGTGCGCGTTCGCCCGCTTCTGGGGAGAGGAGAGAGGAGAGAGAGAGAGAGAGAGAGAGAGAGAGAGAGAGAGGGGGGGGGGGGGAGAGAGAGAGAGAGAGAGAGAGAAGGGAGGGGGGGGGGGGTTGTGCGAGAGCATGAGTGTGCGAAGAGAGGACTTCGTCAGCCCCTGCGAGCCAGAGCCATTTTCAGCTCCTCCGTAAAAAAACCATTCAGCCCAACTGCGACGAACTCCTTCTTTTCCTACCTGTTGCGTCATCACTATACCAACAGCAAGAACCACGAAAAGGACCCAAGAGACAAGTCAAAGGCCCGAACAAAAGGAGGAGTGCACACCAAAAAAAAACCCCACGTAAGACTATCTGCTGGGATCAATTAATGCATTCTGACAGTTGATGTATGGCTTTCTGAACTTTCGCTTACCCTCAACGTTTTGCCCTTGCATGAATGTATAGCCCTTCTGAGCACAATAAGTTGTTCCCACAGCTGATAAGTAATCAACAACAACAAACATTTATATAAATAATTTTTTTTAAAAATTCAACCTACATGATGGGTCAAGACAGTGGCCATAGGCCAAATCAAATAACCCCATCCAAACCTTTTGCACACGTTTCTGCTTCTGTATCCAATGAAGTCAAACAATTCAAAACCAGGCCAGAAGCAAAAGAAATCTCCGTTTACTTTTTCTTCTGTTCACTCAAACTAAACTGAAATGCTCCAGAACAAAACCACTTTGTGTCTATGTGCTTCTCTTTCACTTAAACAATTGCTTTCCATGGACCGAAACGGCTTTTATTTTTGTGTTGTTTTTGTCGCAAATGCCAAAAGTACGTTTATAAAAGTAATTGGTTTGTTTATCATATTGTACATCACCATGGTGCTGTCTGTATTTCGTTCCCAAAATCAATCGTAAATACGGCCTTCACAGTAATTTTTCTTAGCATCGGCCAGTCCACGACGAGCAATAAAATAGAGAATACACGTATTTTCCGATACTAAAACGGACGTCCGTACTCATACTCTCAAAAACGTACTAAGCTCGTTTTTACCTACTGGCTGGCAGCTGTGCTTTTCCAAGGAGAAAGACTAGTTTTAGTTTTAGTAAGTATTTTACGGCACT